ATTAATAAATCTAATTTAGAATTAATATATCCAATAAACTGAATTAACGACTGATTAAATATTTGAATATTGGACCACGATTTACGTGCCTCTGTGAAATTTTAAAGCGAAGAGTCAGATTAAATTGGGAATAGAGGAAGATAATATGATTCATTTACAGTTGCTGATAGTTGAGACTAGATTGAAAATTCGATTTGCAAACACAAATATTCCAATCTTTCAATAACTACCGATAATTCATATCTGGTATCGACATTTTTAACATTATTATTTCAAAAACACGATGAAGATTTTATTTCAATAATGCAATCTTCATTATACTGCACACAAAAATCTTTAATTTTATACCATTCTCATTAAAATCATTAATTACTTCACGGCAAAAATGTTCATTATATTTTCATTATTCTAAACAATAACCCCCATGACTCCGCAAAGTAAATTCGGATCACAGATGACCAATACAACAGTCGTTTTACAACGTATTAATAAACGCTTTAAAACAAGGAAACAAATTTAAATTTCCCAATTTACAGAACATCCAAATAAATCCACAATTTCACCTAATTTTTCCCAGAAATAAACGAATCCATCGCCAGCAAAAGCAAACGAACTGAACTAAAGGATCCACTAATGGTAATTAAACAACGAAAGCGTATTGATCTTAAAATCCTCGAACCAGGTCTCTGAGAAGAAAAAACAACGAATTTTGCCGAGCGAAAATGGCCTGAAAATTGGGAACGACTGCAGGGAAACTTGGCCCACGTTGACCAAGGATTCGAATGCCTTTTCCGCGTTTCATATCGCCGTTTCGACGGTTCCCGAGATCGATCAGTTTTTCCATTCGCCTATAATTGCCGGAAGCCATACGGAACCGATTATCGTTGCCCACCATGCGAACGAAAATAGCGGAAAACCACGATTTTATCAGGAGACCGCGAAATCCCATTTAATCGGTTCAACCGTTTCGACCGCTTTCAATCGGCGCCCTTAATTGTAAACCGCAGCGGCTGTCGATCAAAATGCGATTGTGAACTTCAAGGTTCGCGTGTTTTTCCATGGCTCGAGGACTCCTACCTCCCGGAAATGTTATCCGATCGCTGCTGGATCTTTTCAAACCACTTTCACAATCGTCGGTGAATTAAAATTTTAAACGAGGAGAACAGTGGATGCGAGAGGCTCTGTCCTTGATAGAAATTTGCGAAGATTGATCGAAATTTAAGTATTATACGAGTGAAGAATTATTCCTGGTTACAAAATTCATCCTAGATATCCCTAAATCTAATTATAAAAATAGTTGGTGTATTAAAATTTTTGATGAGAAAGATGTATATAACAATATGAAGATTAAAGAGTGTACTTACACGTATCTTTGATGAAAATTTGTGAAGATTGGTTAATATATAGGTACTAAATTGCTAAACTATTTTTTAATTTAAAAAGGAACATGGAAAAAATATTGGAGAAAATATAAAATTTGATATTGATATAATTTATGATTCAATTGAGAATATATTACTTGGAAACTATTTCTCAATCATTTTTAATAATTCCTTTCTTCGATAATTCTACTAAACCTATCATTCTTCTGAAAATATTCTAATTCTAAATCTCAGTAAGCCTAAATAATATAAGAAAATTAAAAATTCAAACGACATGTCCATCCTCTCAATTAGCTCATTAACACAAAACATGTTTAAGAAAAATATGTATGTATATATATTTACATAATTATATATATAATATGTATAATAAATGTATATCATGTAGTACCAAATATAATAAT